AAAAAAATTTCCTATTCATGTGTCATGTTATTAAATTTTTATTATATTTTTTATCTTTTATTAAATATTGTAGAAATAAAGTATATTATTAAAATATGTATATTTAATAATAATAAATGAGAACTTATTAAATTTTGAACTGAATTTATGATTTTTAAGTTTCTTTTTTTTTATAAAATATGCTGGAAATGAAAAATTATAGTTGCATTGCTGAGCTATTACTTTAATCTTTGTTTGGAATGGGGGAGGGGAGAAATTCAATGAAAGGGAGGGATTTTATTATTTCATGTAATCTTGTTTGGTTTTAAAAAAAAAAAAAGGAGATAACTTGTTGACTGTGAATAGAGGATAAAGATGCTCTCTTCAGATCATAATTAGATCATTTTCTAAAGGTTTATTTAATTTAAAATATAAGATATTAGGTAAGTGTGTGTGTGTGCGCATTTTTTTAATTATACTTTTACTTTATTGAATAATGGGCAGAGGGGCAAATTATTTTTTAAATTTTAAGTTTAATAGCACCATAAATTTTTAATTTTTTTATTATTTAAATTGTTCATTCAACTTTTAAAACAATACAATTTACTTCTATTATTAATAAAAATTAATTATAACAATCAGTCAATCAAAAAGTATAGAGAAGAACCTCAAAAATTTAAAAAAAATTTGGTCCTTTTTGTAATTTTTGTGAACCTTATTTGTAATTTTTAAATCCATTATTATTATTTTTTTGTAATTTTAAAAGTCATTTTTTAGTTGGTGAAAGTTAATTTTGCTATCGACAAAAGCTAAGTTGCATTATTTTTAAAAGTTAAGAGAATAATTTGTATAATAAATGAGTTCAGAATCTACTCCTTTTGTCTCTATATATAAGGTGATTTTAACCAAATTATGCATATTAATATAAGTTTGTTATTTAGTTGAAATCATATTAAATTAAAATAATTTTTTTAATTTTGTCCTTAGTAATGTCAATTAGTATCATGATTGTGATGGGTAAAGTATATAATTAATATCTCTTGCCTTTTTTTTTTTAAACAAGAGCAAAATTGTGTAATTATTTAAAAATATCATGACACTTTTTATATTTAAGAATAAGATAAAATTTTAGAAAATAACCTATATATAGGGACGGAGGGATTATGATGCTATTAAATCTAAAATTTAGAAGGTAATTTGTCCCTCTACTCTTAAGTAATTAATGATTGTATTTTAAATAAGTCAAGTATTATATTTCATACATTCAATGGTATAATTAAAAAAATTAAAAAGTAAAGAGTTTAATTAATCTTTTTTGTTAACTTAAATGAATTAAGAATGATGATAAGTGCAGATGGATGGAATAAATAAGCAAACAATTTTAGAAACGGAGGAGGAAGAGGAGTGAACATGTGGAGAAATAAAGAAGCAAAGGACATGAATGAGCTGGCTTTTTTTGTCCTCTTGTTTGAATCAGAGATCCACAGTACCCTCTCCATCTCCAATCCATTCATTGATGATCCTGCCGTATTTTTTGTTTTTTTTCCTCTTTCCAATGGATTACACTATTTTCATTTACTTCTTCTCTCTGGGGTTTTTTTTTTTTTTCATGGAACGCGCAGAATTTTAAATATTTTTTTTGCAATGTTTTTTCAACCTTTAAAAATAATGTAACTTAAGTTTTATTATTAATAAAAAATTAAATTAAATTAAATTATTAATTAATTAAAAAATTATAAAAAAAATGGCTTCAAAAATTAAATTTCTTGGTCCTTTTCTTTATTTTTTGTCATTATCAGTAATTTTGGATTTTTTACTATAATTTTTTATATTCGTTTTGTAATTTTTAATCAATTAACTGTCAAGGTTAAAATTTATTATCAGTAGAAGTAATATTGAATTCTTTTAAAATATTGAAAAAGAACATTATTCTAAAAACAAGTTTAAGATTTTAAATGCCTTTGAACATATAATTTTGGAGCAAATTTGTTATTTAACTTCTTTAAAAAAATTAATAACCTTTTTTATAAGCTATTTTGCATAAAAATATTGGTCAAGATTTTAAACTTCGTCATGCAAGGAGAAAACATATTAAAAGCGTAAACAGTCCTCATAAGTTCCGATAAAATAGTGAGAAGGAAATATACTCATATAAGTGCCTGTTTGGATAAGGCTGGAAATCAATTTTTTTGCTGATAATCGATTTTGAAAAGAAAATTAGCCAAACACCAGATTTGTGATTAATCGATTAAAATGCTGATAATCATGTTTTGGCATAATCTGAAAACTTCAGCTTCTTCAAATGATTTTTACCCTTATGAATTAATTATTTCTGACCCACTCTCTCACCTACCCATATCAACCTCACGAATGTGTTATTATAAACATATTATGTAATTTAAATAATATAATGAAATATTTAATTTCATTAAAATTAATTTTAAAAAATATTATTTAAATAAATTGGTTATAATACAATTAATTATAATTAAAATTTATTATTTAATTAATTATTTTTATATTTAATTATATCTAAAAGTATGATAGGGTAGGTGGGCCCAACAACACAGTAATGTCTGAGCGGACAGCTGTGCATCCACTATTGGGCAGACATACAATTTCATTATTTCACTCATGACAAACGTGAAACTGTAAGTTGGTAAGGGGCAACAAGGGAAAACAAAGGAACAAACAAAAGGCAGATGAAAATAACTTCACATTTCACTATGCTAAGTCCGTCCCCTGGCCAAGCCTGAAACTGAAAGCTTTTTATCATGATATTGAAACTTGAACCGGACCGAACGAGTCAACTCAAAAATCGGTGACCCAATCTTTTATTCGGTCTGAGTTTACTTCTAAATTGGTGAGGGAATGAATTGGTATAACTCGGTCAACCCAGGTTTAACCCAATATAACCCGATCAACCCGGTGGGTTGACTGGGTCAACCGGGTTATTTTTTTTGGAGATTTTTTTTTCATTTTTAATTTTTCAGAGTATTGAGTTCAGAAATAAGATAACAAAAAAAAGTAAAACTAAAGTCAAAAAAAATGAGAAGTTAGAGGTAGAGCACGCTAAGTCCAATCCAGATTTTCAAACAGCATTTAGTTCACCTTTCATCTGTGTCTCTCCTCTCTCGCCCTAACCTAATCAGCGTCTCTTCTCTAACTTAGTCTCCGTCTCTTCTCCAGGCTCCAACTCTATCTCCGTCTCTTCTCCAGCTCTATCTCTGTCTCTGCTATCTCCATCTCTTTTCCAACTTAGTCTTTGACTCTCCGTCTCTTTTCTAACTCAATCTCCGTCTCTTTTTCAGCTCTATCTCCATCTCTTCTCTAAACTTTTGAGATTGAAGAGTTGTAATTGTAATGATAGATATTTAAAGTGTTGTATTTTATTACTATTAGACTCTTGAGTGGTTGGATTTAGTTGAATGTTTTTATAATTAATGTCTTTTTATTTAAATTGTATTATTTTAATCATGACTTGTTTGCCTCCGGTTCAACCCTAATTGAACCACTAACCCGTGACCCAGTGCCATAATCGGTTCAATAATCGATCCAATTTTCCGTACTTTGCTTTTTACTGTGTAAGGCAATAATAATGAGCTGTCCAGTGCTATTTTTTTGCTGCTGGGTCCCCCAAGGAAATTAATGCGCACGTTGCCCACATCATCACCGTTTTTATCATCTAACGGTTGTAAAATTTCCAAATCAAGCATCATAGTTTTATCCCGGAAACTTTTCAAATTTAAATCTCCAACATACCTTTGGTAGCGTATTGATACACTCACTTTCTGTCTCAAATAATAAAATTATTTTTAAAATCATTTTATTTTAAAATATAAGATAATTTAAAAAAAATTCATCCATAATATTTTTTATTTTTTTAATATTACTCTTCAAATGAAAAGATAATTAAAATTATATTATCGCATAATAATTAATTGTATAAAGGTATTTTTAAAAAATTTATAGTTTTATTTTCTAAAAGTAAGTTTGTAATGTGTTTTATTGTTATGTATAATCTTGTGTCAAATTATATAGAGGGAGTATAATAGTTAGGACTCATAATCAATGTTTATCACCATCATGCTCATCAATGTGACGAGATGTAAACCATTCAGATTTAAAATATTATTTTATATTTATTAAAATGAAATTTATAAAAATTATAATTTTATCATAAACTTGATCTAGAATTAATTTAAAATATTTAATTTAATATTAAAATTTTTATAATTCTTATATATTGACTATACAAATATACTGTGTACTGTCACAATTTTATATTAAATATTTATCATTTTTATAAATTATTATTTTGATAAATATAATGTTAAAAATTAAAATACATAAAAATGGCATTTTTTTAAAAAAATTATAAGTTAGAAACTTTAAATCTAAACTGTGCAGCAGACTGCAGAAGTGTTGGATTTTTACTAGTCCCCTTTAAAATTTCTTAATCAGAATTAGCTTCAACTAATTGAGTGAGAATTGCAAGGTGCTCTGGTTCTTGGATTGTTAACTTAATATAAATTTGAAGTCATTTTAATTTTAAATTGCAATTATAGAATAGCATGGACATGTGAGAACAAAGTTTCAGGATCAACCGTACAGAGTTGGCCAATGTAATTATGGTTCACGATTTAAAATTATGATGCTTTTGCAGTCATTATTGTTGCTTATCTCTTGTTTTATGGCCATTAATTATTATTATTAATGTCACTTTGATCGTTGACAAACGGAGCTGAGTGCATTTTTATAAATTCATGAAATTTATTTATAAATAAGTTTTTATATGCCACATGTTCGTAATATTTCTTAATATTTCTTTATAAATTCACTTTGTTTTTATATGCCACATGTTCGTAATATTTCTTAAAAACGGCGCAAATTATTGAAAGATGATGAATTGCATCCCTTATTTAATTTCTTAAACTCCATATAACGTACGAATCACATGCAGTTCTTAGCTATAAATATTCAGGAATGTTGAACTAGTTTCAGCAAAAGCATCAGGCATGGCTATGAGAGTTAAAGGCAACAGTTTTCTGCTGTGTGTGTTAATGGTGGCCGCTGCCACCACCCTCGCGGCGGCGGCCGCCGCCACTGCAAAGCCCGCCCATTATACGGTTCCATTCAATAGAACCCTTTTCCCCCGTGGCTTCGTCTTCGGTGCTGGTTCTTCCGCGTATCAGGTCTCTCTCTCCCTCTCCCTCCCTCCCTCCCTCTCTCTCTCTCTCTCTACACACACACACCATTCATTCATATATATTAAGCAGTACAACATGATATTCACCACTTTGAAGATGCAAAATCTATTTCTTTTCTTCCAAGATCTGCACATCTCTCTCTCTCTACGTGTACAAGTTTCTGGGGTAGTTGATCATAGTTTTTGTATGTTAAAAAATATGGTTGTTCTACGACACAGTCAGAAGGAGCGGCAAATATTGATGGAAAAGGACCAAGCATTTGGGACACCTTCACTAAGCAGCATCCAGGTCTCTCTCCCCCCCTGTGTGTGTGTATCTGTCTGTCTGTCTGTCTCTGTGTGTGTGTTATCTCAATTGCGAAAACGAAATACATTTTTTAATATTAATGTGAAGTGACGAATCTCATTTGTATGTCATTAACGGCTAAATTAATTGGCATGTGCAAGATCAGATCTTAAACTATAGTCCGAACAAAGATTGATTTATTTTGATGTGCAATTAATTAATGAGCAGAAAAGATATCGGATCAGAGCACTGGTGACGTGGCCGACGATTTTTACCATCGCTATAAGGTGTTCACCGACTTTCGTGCGTCTCATCTATTCATATCTATTTTATCACTATTTTAACTCTCTCACACGCCCACACAATGTGTGTCCCGTATTGCAGAGTGACGTACAACTGATGAAAAAAATTGGGCTGGACTCCTTTAGATTCTCCCTCTCTTGGTCCAGAATTTTCCCTGGTAATAATTTTTCTTTCTTTTTAATTAAACCATGCTAAGATAATTTTAAAAAAAATGAATAAAGCGGCTTTATTTATACTGTATTAATTCTTGATTTTTTTTTTATAGGACACCAGAGAAAGTTTTTATTTAGAACACTTTTTTTCCCCAACGTTGCCCTTTTGTTAATGTTTGTTGCTCTGTTTTTTTTTTTTTCCATTTGGTTATTAATTGTTTTTAATTGTGCAGAGGGTAGAGGAAAAGTGAATGCCTTGGGTGTCAAATTCTACAACAATGTCATCAATGAGCTACTTGCTAATGGTCAGGCTGTTCACTTAATTAGTTCATTTCTGTGATAATAACAAACTTTTCCAAAATTAATAGCAATCTTTTCCACATTTAATCACTCATTTTTGTGGATATATATATATATATATATATATCTACATAGGTATAATACCTTTTGTCACTCTTTTCCATTGGGATGTTCCTCAAGCTCTCACCGACGAGTACGGTGGATTTCTCAGTCCTAAAGTAGTGTAAGTGTTACCCACACTACGGTCCATCAAATCTCTGTCTGTCACTGGGAACTTTTTTGAATATGTTAAATGTGTTAGTGATGGAACGGGTAAATAGGTAAGCTTTGCTTATATAAGCTTGACCTGCTGTTGACCTTAAAATTTATCAATTCTACTTAAAGCGTTGGCGTTTATTGATATAGCCTAGAATCAGCTCAAAGCCTTTTTGGTTTTTTTTATTTTTTTATTTTTTAAATTTTACAAAAATTAACTTTTATATTATATTACATATTCATTCCCTAAAATTAAAATATGTAATGTAATAAACTCTAATTTTAATGTGCAAACTCATATTCTAAAGCCTAAATTTAACATAAAAATTTCAAATACAAAAAGGGCTTAATGGTTAAACGGATAGTCCCAAGCTTGTTCTTTCAAGACTTAAAAACCCTTTGTATAAAAATCTTTTAATTTTCAGAGCCCATGGCTTAAATAAATTACCCAATAAATCAACCTATTCTTCAGCTCTAGTTAGTGATGAGTAATTGTATTGTTATTCTTAGTTTTCTAACTGATTAATAATTTCAGGGATGATTTCCGAGACTACGCTGACTTTTGCTTCAAAGCATTTGGAGATAGGGTTAAGAATTGGGCTACCCTCAATGAACCCCACATATTCGCTGTCAATGGCTACAATGGTGGCACCTTTGCACCTGGTCGGTGTTCTAACTATGTCGGAAATTGCACAGTCGGCAACTCCGGCACTGAGCCCTATCTGGTCACCCACCATCTCCTTCTTTCTCATGCTACAGCTGCCAGACTCTACAAAACCAAATATCAGGTTCTCTTACATATTATCACATTCTTTGGCCTTACCTTGTCGATTCAACTTGTTGCATGGTTTTTTTTTTTAACAAAGTCTGTAATTATTCCTCATTACAATTATAGGTTACCCAAAAAGGACAAATAGGAATCACATTAGTGACACATTGGATCATTCCAAAGTCCCAAACTTCAGCTGATCGTGAGGCTGCAAATAGAGCTCTAGATTTTTACCTTGGATGGTAAGTGAGAAAAACATGAGTTCAGCCTTCTTCTTCTTTTTTCCTCCCTTTTTTGTATTTTGGTTTCTCTCAACTTCTTCTTTGTTGAGGTTTTGTACTGTTCAAGTCAAGTTTTAATGGTAAAAATTAGTTTAATCTATGCTTTAATCGAAAAATTAGAGTAAAAGGAGAATGATAACTAAGGACCTATTAAGAAAGTTAATACGCAATCAGGATTTTTTAAAGATTTTCAGTGCTAAAATATAGGAAAATGAGTGTTAAAATTGAGAACCTAATTTATGATAAGATCCTGATTTCTGATTAATTTTCTTATGAAGTTCTTAATCATCATTTTCCCTTTAATACATTATTAAATGTAAACTTGCTGAAGTGAAAGCTAATCCTTTTGTGCAGGTATGCTCACTCTATTACGTATGGAGATTATCCCGAGGTCATGAGGGCTATTGTGGGAGATAGGCTCCCGAAGTTCTCAGAAGCAGAATCAAAACTGTTAAAAGGGTCTTATGATTTTCTTGGTCTCAATTATTATACCGCTAATTATGTAGAAAATTCTCTCTCTACCAGCACTGTTAACAAAAGTTACACTTCTGACATTCATGCCACTTTCTCAAGTAAGTAACTAAATTAAAATATTATCAAAACTTAGTTAATGTATTGTATTTACACATAAACTCACTTCATTTTTGTTCTAATCTCAGCCTCAAGAAATGGTCTCAACATCGGTACTCCGGTATGTTTTGTTTCTTGATTTGTGCATGTAAACTTGGATTCCTCTCTCCAGCTAGGAAATTTGTGGGATTAAATGTCTTTTTTTTCTTTGTTTTTTTTGTCCATTTATGGAGATTTGTTGCTTTTGTAGACCGCTTTGAGCTGGCTCTACATTTATCCAAAGGGACTCCGTGAGCTTTTGGTTTATGTAAAGAACAAATACCAGAACCCAACAATTTACATCACTGAAAATGGTACCTATCTACATATCATACGCTTTCATGAGAAGACTTGGCTTCACAAGCAACATATCGAAGCTTTCTGCATTGATATTGTAACCTGTTAGAATATATTTACTCAAAAAACAAATGATTTTTGCCCAATTATAATTATATATATATTGGGGGTGGGGAGGTACATATTAATGTGTTTGAGGAAAACCGCAGGAGTTGGTGAAGCAAATAATGCATCAAAACCAGTTCATGAAGCCATTAAGGACAGTATCAGGATCAGATACCATGATAGCCATCTCAGAAGTCTTCTTCAAGCAATCAAGTGCGTGAGATATATTACATTACAATTTACTTTATGTCATTGTTATAAGATCCTATGAACTATTTTAATTTCATGATATATATTAAGGAAATTACCTTTTAATTGATATAATTCATTGGAGGGGAAGGATTGATGGAAAAGAAATTTCTTAAAAGTAAGAGTAAAAGAGACAGCAGTGTGTTTAGAAATGAGTTACAAATGTTTCATTATTTTATTTTTAAAAGGTCTTATAAATCGGATTGAAAAGAGTAATAGGTTTAAAATAATATTGAGTAAGTGTGTTGATTTCATGTGTGGTTGATTATACATGCAGGGATGGGGTGAATGTGAAGGGGTATTACGCGTGGTCATTTATGGACGACTTTGAATGGGATTCAGGCTACACTCCTCGATTCGGACTAACGTATGTAGACTACAAGAACAACCTTAAAAGATATCTTAAGTATTCTGCTTTTTGGTTTAAGATGTTCCTCCTCCGTTAGTTACTCTGCCAAGTTACTATGAACTCTCATTTCGTAATGACAAGAAAATAATAAGAGAAAATTATGGTAGAAAAATAGAAGGAAAAGACATTTTTCCTTCTTGATCACATAATATTTTTCTTTTAGGTATATCTCACTGGCAGGGGATTAAGGAAAAAAACAGTGATGAGAAATGTCTTTATTCTATAGTTTTTTTTCTATAATTCTCTCTTCTTTTTATTTTCTTTCCATTCCAAATAGAGCCGAATTATGTTTGAGGCTTTTGTTTGAGTTCCACCAGCACATTGTTGTTTATTTTCGTATGTTCTAAAATAAAACCTTATCAGGTGCTTTTCTCAATTTTAAATAAATGAAGCCTCAGTTTCGTTATATATACATACACACATATATGGAAGAAGAAGAGTATGTGTTGGTCTGACTGGGGCCCATTAGAATAACACTGGGCTCGGGGCAACCCGACAAAAACCCATAAATGCCGGTATTGTGCACAGATATGAAGTTGCAATATCAACACGCATTATACTTTGTTATAGAAGTTTGATTGGTAAATTGATTTCTGTATTCTTTAGATGTTGATTCTTTCTAAATCTTTTGGCTCGTTTGGATATAAAAATGATAACAATAAGATGAATCAAAGAAATAAAGGCAAAAATAATATAACTAAAACGTCGAGTGGGGGGGAGGGAAATATAAGATTGATAAATTTTGAGTACCTGTATGACATTTCTTTTGGAGCATGCATAACATAGAGTATTGGCAACAATTTTCTGGTTATCAAACAATATTAAGAGAAACCTTAATCTTAAAAACATTATATCTTTTTAATTATACTATTATTAAATATCTTATATTAGTTCTTTAAGAATAATAATTGAAATTTCAAAATATCATTTTTCAAAAAAAATGCTTATATTTTGGACAAAAAATTTGCATCTATTTAATTACATATTCTTTCTTTAAAATATAGATTATAGTGTATAAAATTTAAAAATAAATAATATAAATTTTAATTTTTGTATTAAATGTGGTGCTCCCACTTACTGATGACTAGCACAGTTATCATCAGTTCTGAAAAACATGGCAATGATTATTATCTATTTATTAAGTTTAATAGTGCTGTTTATTTTAGGAGTGTTTAGTTGGAACTTCGGAGGAGGGGAGGGATTTTAGCCCCTCCCTTTGTTTAGTTGGGATCCAAACTGAGGAATTGGAAAAGGAGGGATAAAATTTATTACACCTTGATCAATTTGCCTTCCATGATAAATTTAAAAAACGTAGATATACTTTTACTGTATCTCAACACTAATAAAATAAAATAAAAATATTTATATATAATTATTTTTCTTGCCCTCTTCTCTTAAACCAAATAAGATAATATCAAATCTATCTTCTTTTCTTCATTAAAATCCCTCTACTTTGCTTCCCTCTTCTTAGTTAAAATCCCCCCTTCTCTCCCCCTCAAACCACATACACCCTTTCAGCTTCTTTTATGCATGCATGTGTGTGGGCGTGGGTGGGTCTCTTTTCAAGTGACGGTGACATTAAAAAAAAAAAAAAAACACACACACACACACACAAAAGAGGAGAAGAGGTCCAAAAAAAAAAAAAAAAAAAACGTTGGAAGGCAGAGACTGAGCATATAAACAAACAAGCCATAATAATGAATGAATATGATTGATTTAGCTTCAACAGGAACATGCCCAATGATTTGAATAATCTGGTCAATATATATACATTTAAATATAAAACAATATTTTTTTATCTTTATACTTTTTACATGTTTTGGTATTAATATTTATACTTTTATTCCTGCATTTCAAATTCCTTAAATTTTATACATTTACATTGTCAGTCTTTATTATTATTGGCGAAGTTAAACCTACCAATGTATACGTTATATAAACAAAATAACCACTAATTTTGTTGCCTGTTTGGTCTATCTGTTTCTCCCTCCTTGAAGCTTCATTTATTACGAGTTTAAGGATTCTTACCTAATGTCATATTATTATTATTATTTTTGGTCTTCTATCCATTTTTTATACAACTTATCATAATTTTAACCAATAAATACAATAAATAACAAAGTTTATATACATAATTAAATCGTTATAATCATATTTAGAAATATAGGGACAAACGTTACAAATAAATAAAGCTTAAGAGACTTGAAATGACAGAATAAAAGTATAAGGATTGATATTAAAACACAATAAAAGTACAGGAATCAGAAAATTATGTTTTCACAAAAACAAAACAGACCAACTGCACCTTAATTTAATTATTCCTCCTGCTTCAGTTTGTGTGCAAAAAATTTAACTTTCTAAGTTTCATGCATTGCATACACACATACACATTGAGCAGAATTCTAGTTCTTCAACTAAGTCAACATATTTATCGTATATTATAAGAATTTTGAGTAAGACTCATGTTGTATATGAGTTATTATAATTGAAAACATAATTTTTCATAATTTTTATTATTTGTGTTAATTTTTATTATTAAATGATTATTTAAAAAAACTAAACAAAATCTCCGCACCGAAAAAATGACTTTACTAGTCTTATGCGTTTAAAAAAAATGCATGAAATTGAATTTCAAAGAAAAATTCGTCCAGCTTCATGTTATGTTGATCTAATAGGTTTGGTAATTTTGAGAAAATACAATCATCAGTTGATATAGTTTTATCAAGTTTTGCTTTAATTTCTATAACTTTTTTCAGTATTTTCAATCTCTATAATTTTAGTTTTTTTTACTATTTTTAGTCAAAACACTAAAAAAAATTACATAGATTAAAAACAAAATTCAATAAAACTATAGGAATCTATTATTATTATTCATAAGTGTCCTCATATTAAAGACAGTAAATTTTAGAATACAGTCAGCTATTAAATGTGAATTTTTCTCTTTGTGAAATTCAAATCTTCATTTGTCATGTTTGTGAAAGCTAGTCTCTTTTTACCAAATTCAAATCACTTTAGTAATAGGTTGTATAGTTGAATCAATTGTGAGCACCTGGTGCATTGACTAAGTTATCGCCCTACACTGGTGGAGTCAATCCCCTACAAGGTTGATGTTTAAAAAATAGTTATAAATATTAATTGCAAGTAACCATTTAAATTGTAAATATCACCCTCAATTTACAATTGAGATTCCTATTTAAAACTATTTCAATTAATATTTTTAATTTACTTTTTAAAACATTTTATTGAGAACTTAATTGTTATAAATTCTAGATTTTGAGATTTTGCTGCCATTCTCCCACCAAAAAAAAAAAAAAAAATCAGCTGTGATTTCCGCTCAGCGGTGACTTTTTAAGATGAAGGCTACTATTTATATTTTTTATTTTATCAACATTAGAACCTGTCAGAATTTAGTAAAAGGATAGTAATGTTGTCCCTTTATTAAATGGCTGTTAACTGTTAATTGAATGAAAATTTACAAGAACTAAACACCTTTTCAGCTATGTATATACACACATATTTTTTTAATGGTCATGATTTGTCTATAAAAAAATTATTATAATATATTCAACATCGTAGGAGTCTATTAAATTTTAGGAACAAGTGATGGAGTCGCAATTGATGAATTCTTAACAGTACTCCTTCCCTTCTATCCATACTATAAAACACTTCCCTCCAACTCACTAGAATTAAAAAGAAATCATTAAATTATTAATTTTGTTTGAAAAAAAATAAACTTTTAATTTTATTTATATTAAAATAAAAATTTTAAATATAAATTATATATATTCTCATAGTTAATGAGCTTAAATAAGGATATTATTATAAAAATATAATTAATACTCTGTTCATTTAAAAATATAAAGTATTTTTTAAAAAGTTGGATGTTAAAAAATATAAGACATTTTTAATTTTTTTAGGTGTAACCATTACCTTTTCTCTAAAAATGCCTCTATTGACAAATCATTTTATATATATTATAGGATGTTTAATAGGATAAATTTAAAAAAATAAGGTTAGTTTGAAAGTAGGTAATTATTTTATTAGGGATGAGATTATGTTAAAAATGCCTTATATTTTTTAATAGATGGAGTATATCACCAAATGCCTTATATTCCATTCGTATTAATTTACAAGATACTTTTCTAGGAAATTTAATGTTCTAAAAGACAAGAGACTTTAATTAAAATAAAATTTTATTAATGATATTTTTTAAATATTATCATTCCTATCATATTCTGTCTTTTTCTATAATATCATTTCACGTATAAAATATCAAATTAGAATTTTTTTTAAAATTTTATATTTTTATTTTGAAAAAGCATTGTTTTAAAATATATTTAATAAATTTTATTGATATATACATGTGTGTGTGTGTAATTTTGTATGAAGTTATGTTATAAATTAAAATAAATAAAGTATCAAAGACTATTAATCTCAATTAAAATATACTCCTTCAAGATTAAAATATATGGCATTAATAACTAATTCACTATTTTTAAAAATAATTAGTTAAAACATTAATTTCTTAGAAAATTATATCTTTTTAATTTTATTCCTATTAAATATCATATATAATTACTTTGCTAATGGTAATTAAAATTTTAATGAATTATTTTTTTAAAAGGAATAACAAATAAAGTAAGATCATAATTAAAAAATAATTACAAAAATGATTTAATATTTTATTTTTTGACTAAATAAATTTTGTTAAAACAAAAATGTCGAAGGAGTACCTTGTTATGATGTTATGATAAAAATCATTGTATGAAAACTTGGATTGAACTAGCCAATTCAGCCCGTGAATCAATGACTCGATCTCTTTTTTAATTTGAGTTTTCATCTAAATCAATCAACCATTAACTCAGTGTGACTCGACTAACCCGAAGTCAACTCAGGATAACTCGACTAACCCAGTAGCCGAGTTGCTAGGTCAAGCGAGTCATTTTTTTTATTTTTTTTGAAATTGTAAAAACTAAATAAAAATAAAAAAATTCAGCTTGAAAATTACAAAAGTGAGGCAATGGATGGTAAGACAATTAAATTATATTTTATTATCTATAGTTTAAACGTCGAATAGAGGACCTTAATTTTGTAAGTTCAAACTTAAAAAATTTAGTATTATTTTAAATTAATTGTGCCTTAATTATTTTAATCTTCATTATTTACTATTTTTTATTTTTTATTATTACTTAACATTTATGAATTATGACTATCATTGTTGATGATTTTAGTGTTAGTAATGATTAGTTTTAAATTTTTTATTAATTGAAGGGTTGTAAATTATAATAATAAATATTTAAAAATTTATATTTTATTATTGTTAGACTTTTGATAGTTGTAATTCTATAATTATTATTATA